CTTGTTCTGCTTCTTGTCCCACCGCATGCCCTTGGCCCGCGACGGCTCGCCGAACCCCTTGGCCGTCTCGTCGTTGGTGAGGTCCATCGTGACGTTGCGCGCCGCCTCGACGAAGCTCGACATCTGCGCCCCCGACGTGACGCCGTAGCCCCGCTCCTCGGCCGCGTTGATCGTCCTGGGCGTGTACGACATGAAGACCTCCGAATCCTTCCACGACTCGGTCTTCTTCTTCTTCTCGCCCGTGTTGGTGATGGTGACTTCGAAACCGTCGTCGTCATCGTCGTCGTCGTCGTCGTCATTGTCAGAGTCGTCAGAGTTGTACGCCCCCATGGCTTCCGCGTTCGCGTCGTCGTCGTCCGATCCGGCGTCCGAGTCGTTCGCGGCGTCGTCCAAGTCCTCCATTTCTTCGTCCGAGTCGGCCTTCTTCTCCTTGTTGCCGCGGTGCGGCGTGATGCGTCTCCTCAGCTGCTTCATGACTTCCACCGCCTCGCTGCTCGAGCCCTTCCCTCCTCTCCCAATCTCGAAGATGGTCTCGGCCGGCCGGAAACCGCTGATCTTGGCCATCATCTCGTTGCGGGCCTGTTCGGCGTTGTTGATGTCGGCGCCGAAAATGGGGTGCAGCGAGTGCCACCCTTTGGTTCCCACGAGCTCGCGGGCTCGCTTTGCGCTCTGGCTGGACGCCGAGTGGCGGGTCTTGAGGTACAGCTTCTCGGCCTTGGCCGAGACTTTGCGCAAGGCCTCGATGTCGGCCTCCTCCTTCAGAATCTTCTCCATCCACTCCATATGGATTTCGATTCTGTCACGCCTGAGCCCGCCGACGACGACGTCCTCGGCGTAGGACGGGCTCTCGGTCTCGTGGCCCACAACCAGCCTGCGGCCGAGGAAGAGCTGGAGGTCCAGGAGGTAGGGGGTGTCGAGCTCGCGCACGATGCTGTACGCCCAACCCCTCTGGCCAGCACGAGCCGTACGTCCGACGCGGTGCACAAAGACCTTGGGCTGGGGGGGGAAGTCGTAGTTGATGACGTTGGCCAGCACGGGGATATCGATACCTCTGGCGGCGACGTCCGTCACCACCAGAATGTTGGCCCGTCCGTTGCGGAAGTTCTCGGTGTTGATGCGGCGGGCCTCTTGGTCGAGGGAACCGTAGACGTACGACACGGCGTAGCCGGCTTTCGTCAGCAGCTGGGCGAGGTATTCGACGTGATGCTTCGTTGCGGCAAAGATGATGGTCGAGTGTTCGGTCGGCTTCCCCCTGCCTTCGCCCTCGCGCTTCCGCTTCTTGGACGGCGCGACATCCAGGGGGACGCCGTCGGGTGTGCCGTGGGGCATCTTGATGAGGTCGCTGAGGATGTGGAGAAGGGCGGCCTCCTTTTCGGCCCCCTTGACGGAGAAGAAGGCACTCTCGAGGTCCGGGGACACCTTGGTCTCGGCATCCAGTCTCACGAGGGTGGGGTCCTGCAGACCGGCCCTGGCGAACTCGACCAAGGAGGCGGGCAAGGTAGCAGAGAACAGCAGACTCTGCCTCGACGGGGGGAGGGCGTGGAGAATCTCGGTGAGCTGGGCGGCGAAACCCATTTCGAAAAGGCGATCGGCCTCGTCAAAGACGACGTACTTGATGGAGGACAGGTCTAGGCCCATTTCGACCTTGAGATGGAGGAAACGACCGGGGGTGGCGATGACGATATCTGGGTTGGACGCCATCATGCTGAACTGGTCCTCCATGCTGTCGCCACCGACGAGCAGGATGCACTTCAGGTCGGTCCCCTTGCTGAACTCCTTGACGACCTTGAGCGTCTGGAGGGCAAGCTCACGAGAGGGCGACATGATGAGGGCGCGCGTGCCGACCTTTGCGCTGTGGGCGCGGAGGCGCTCGATCATGGGGATGACAAAGGCGGCCGTCTTTCCGGAACCCGTCCTCGCCATGCCGACGACGTCCTTGCGGTCCAGGATCAGGGGGATCGTCTTTCGCTGAATCGGCGTGGGGACGGAGAAGCCCTTCTTCGTAATGGCGCGGAGGAGGTTCGCATTCAGACCTGCAGACGGCGTTAGACCTTCACTCGGCATGGCTGTGTGTGGCGTGACGGAATCGAATCGACTTACCCATGGCCTGGAAACCGCCTCCCTTCTTGACCGACTTGCCCTTCAGGTTGGATGACTTGCGGAAGGACGCCGCCTGCTGCAGCGCAATGAAGGCTTCGTCGCCATCGTCTTCGGGCTGCCCGTCTTGGTTGCCGTTCAGGATGCCGTCCACGTCAAAGTCGAAGTCTGGGGGGGCGTTGTGTCCGTCATCGCTCCCGTTGTCGCTGGTGTTGGCGGCGAAGAGGGAGTCTGCGATGTCGACCTCTCCGTCGGACGGTGCAGGCGATGCCGGGCGACGAGGCATCTTGGACTGGTGTTTCTGGCGAAGCCGTGTGTGTGTGTGTGTATGAGCGAGCAAGCACTAGATGGATCCAAGACCTGGCTGGCGAGCGAGCGAGCCGCCTTCGAAAATTTGGGCGGGCGGGAAGAGAAATTTCTTATCGTTATCGTAGGTAGGTATCTTAGCGTCGTGGGGCACTACACTACAGCTGTCTGTACAGGGCTTATCAACTGGGGTCCGAGGCCCACTTCGTTTGGTCCCTGCACTCCTCCCTCACACTTCTCACCCCGTCCGTCCCTCACCCCGTCATTCGTCCCTCGTCTCCTCCAACATCACTCAAGCCCGCGCAACTAACTCACCATGGCAGCACCGGACGAGAAAGATGCCCTCGACGCCCTCGAGATCGAAGCAAAGGAGTTTGACAAAGTAAGTGCGACGGAAAACAACCCCCCCGCCCCCCTTGGAGCGCAAGAGAGACCCCAAACTGACAAGGCGCGCCCCCTTCAACAGGATGCCGAGATCGACAGAATCCTCAAGGCCTTCAGGCTAGACGCCTACGCCGTCCTCGACCTCCAGCCCGGCGTGCCCGAGTCCGACATCAAGGCCACCTACCGCAAGAAGTCGCTCCTGATCCACCCGGACAAGACCAAGAACCCGCTGGCCCCCGACGCCTTCGACCGGCTCAAGAAGGCCCAGACGGAGCTGATGGACGAGAAGCACCGCGAGCGCCTCGACGAGGCCATCGCCGACGCGCGCATGCTGCTGATCCGCGAGAACAAGTGGACCGTCGACAGCCCCGAGCTCAAGACGGACGACTTCGCCAAGAAGTGGCGCGACAAGGCGCGCGAGGTCCTCATCGACAACGAGCACCGCCGCCGCCGCCAGCTCAAGGCACAGATGCAGGAGGAGGGCCGCGAGCAGAAGAAGGAGGACGAGGAGCTGGAGCAGCGCAAGCGCAAGCGCCAGCACGAGCAGGACTGGGAGGCCACGCGGGACCAACGCATCAGCAGCTGGCGGGACTTCCAAAAGGGCAAGTCGGGCGACGGGAAGAAGAAGAAGAAGATGAAGCCCATAGGATGACGGGAAGAAGGGGAAGGAGAAGAAGAAGAAGAAGCCCTTCGGATGAGGGGCCCTTTCGGTCGGATGTTTTGGTTCGTTCTTTCGTCCCCTGTTTATTCTACGTACCTACGGATGGATGGGCAAAGTTGTTTTACGGGATGAGGGGCGGGATATGTCTTAATGAAAACGCGGCAGGTTCTCGACTACGGCGAATTCTTCCCCCCCCTTCTCGATCACGCCAAGCGCAAACGGCATGGTTACATCAACAAGCCAGTGGCCGGCCTATGGCCCTGTACCGCGTGTTTGTAGAGCTCCTGCCGGCAACGGCTTTCACTCCAACCTGCCGGCGAGCAACACCTCCGAGACCCCCGCGCCGTCCCGATCCGACGGAACAGACAGACGTCCCACCACCACCGCCAGCGAATGCCCCGAGCATCACAGTATCGTAATACGCGTAACTCACGTATTGCTAGCTTTCTACGTTATCTACCGCCGACCCTATACTAACTCTACTTGTCAGGGTATTGATGAGGATAATCGCCCTAATTCCCCTATGAGCGGTCTAGTGCAGTTCACCTAGTAAATGTAATGTCACAGTACGTAAAACCCGCCGACGACGCCCTCGCCCGCCGCCCGCTGCACGACCGCGACAACAGTGGCGAGCGAAGCCATCTCCATCTAGTACTATTGTCGGAATCCAGCGTGACTTACGGCGCAAGGTTTTTAACGGCCTCGGCGGCAGAGTTCAGAATCAACAGTGTCATCATCGTCGCCGGTTGTCGCCAACGTCCCGGCGCCTAAAGGCCATGCATACATACATGGCAAAAGTGAAGTCGGATTCAGCAGTCACTGTTATGGTCGTGGACTACATACAGCCCGAACAAGGTGGCTTGGCAGAGTACAAGCATTATACACCTTACATTAAGACACATTTACAGGTTCAGAGGTGCTGTCTGTCTTGTCTGTCTGTCTGTGTATTAGGTTTTACGTATTCATACTGTAATATTGTTTATTTATTTACTTGGTAAACTTCACTAGACCGGTCGGTTTAAGACTGAGTAACTGAGGCAGATTAGATGAATACCGACCGTATGTAAAAAAAGGAAAACCGCGATCCGTGGGACTCGAACCCACAGCCTTCCGATGGTCTTTTCAACAGTGTAAAAGTCGGACGCTCTGACCAAATTGAGCTAGGAAAGCGAACCGGCCAATAGGGTGCGTTTTCTATCGACGTTTCGTGGTTATGTTCTCACGGGCGCGGGTGGAGCTGTGAATAGACGGGATCTACGGCGCTTAGGTTAGAAGCACTCATCAACCGGCCCATCTCTAAACTTAATCTGCAAAGCAACAAGTTTAGTTACGACCCTTCTAAGAATAAAACTAAATAAAAGAGGGAGAAAAAACGTTTATGAAGGCGGTAGTGGTTAACTAGGTAGGCTGATAAACCTAGGCGCGTTACATCCTAGACCGCTCTTTTTGTAGCCAAGGGAGGAGGGAGAGCGTGACTCCGAGGCAGTCCGTATCCAGACAGCTATAAGCTCCCTTGCATCACCTCTTGCCGCCAATATATTAATTACTACGAGGATCGATAGCTCAGTGGTAGAGCGAGAGATTGCAGTTCCCCTTACAGCAAACCATCTCTAGGCCCCGCGTTCGAACCGCGGTCGGTCCTTGACAGCGTTTTCCCCCCTTTTGCCGTGTGGTAGTTGCCACGAGAGCCACCCACGCATACTTCTGCCGCAACCTGCCGTCCAGGCTATTTCAGTTCTCTCTTTTTTCTTCTTCTCACCTATCTATCCTTTCTTTATGCGTTCCCTCTAAGTGGGAAGGTCGCTTTGCTTCTATTGGATTGGGGCTGTGAGTACGGATAGTTCCACTTGGAATTGAGAGACCGTTCCCCACTTCACTTCTGACATGGGTTGGGGACATGAATCGCGGTGTTCAATACTCAAAAGTCACTGGCTCGTTGATATGAATGACCATGCTGTTTGCGCTTGGAGTTATCGAAATCGGGAAAGGAAAAAAGAAAAAAGAAAGATTCGCCGTATTCGAGAACAAAGACCTGCGAGTCCCTTCTGTTCCAAATCTAAACCCCCCACCAACGTTGGCCAACACTAGCTAGCATCGTCGTTGGTGACTGGCAGACATGCCCGAGCACTCCGAAGCGGCAGGACTAGTTGGTGTGCGTCATTGTCACCCGTGCCGACCGGGTAAAGCTCTCCGCAATTGATCCGGATGGCACCGGACGGTCCCGGGCGGCGGTCCGGATGCCTTTCGCGTTTCGGGGCCGAAGTACCGACGGGGGAACCGGGATGTCTCTACGGATGGGCCAATTTGGCGTGCTATTTGGTGTTGATAGCCGAAGCCGATGTTGACCTTGCCAGGATGCGGACGGCTCGGGCTGGGGCGGTCCGAGCCGAACCGTTTCCCTACAGGCCGCCCTGCATGTCGGGGCCGAGCCGGTCACCGGTGGCCGACAATGCCCGAGTAGAGCACCGAGGCTCAAGCGTTTCCTCTCCAACATCCTCTCCTCCATCTTGCATCTTCTTCCCCTCCCCACCGTCTTAGACGAGGACCAGCCGTTGCACATCAAAGTCCGCAGGGTAGTAAATGCCCGAAGGTATTGCGAAAACACCGACCCGCTCGAACCCGAGCGAATGATGCCGCGGGGCGCGGCGCAGGACGAGACCGACATCTACGCGGAAGGCGTCGTCGCCGCAAATGTTCGTCACGGTAGCGGCGTAATCTTTCAGGGCCATCTCCCCGAGCGACATAAAGTACAGGTTCACGGGAGTCTGGCTAGAAATGACCGAGGTGAAGAAGTCTTGGCAATCCACCTGGAATACCATGGGGCTGTAAGGGATATTGACGGGTCCGGTTTCCGGGGTGAATAGCAGATGAAGTGCATCCCCCCACGCGCTGAACTTCTCTACTGGGGCACGTACCCTTCCTCGCATCACGTTGGCCGAAACTTCCAGTTGATACTCGCTGGCCAGCAGACCGTCTCCGGAGCTTCCTGGCGCCGGCTTGTACCCGGCGCCCCAGTAGTGGAAACAAGGGCTCGGAACAAAAGAACAGAGGTTGGCGCCGGGCATGAGTGATGCGGCGCTTTGGATTTCCTCATTGTCTGCAAGCACCATGGATGCCCAAGACCACGTCGGGATGCGAGGGGTGTGACAGCGATGGCTTTTGGCAACGTACAGCGCCTTGGTACGGGCCAGTTTCATGCCGAGGTTCCACAGGAGCGCCTCTGCCAGTTCCGCGGGCGAGCCTGCCAGGATGGCGGCGCAGTACCGCTTACCAGTGACCTGGGAGGTGTGACGGAGCATGCCTGCTATGTGAGCCAGCCTCTGACGGGGCTGCGAGAGGGGCAGGTCCATGTACAGCTGTAACACGCGGCCAAGGTCCCTGACATAGCCCTTCGCGTGGAAGACTCCTTTCGGTCGCTGCTGTTGCGAGGATTGCGAGGATCGCGAGGACCTTGTGTGGGCGTTGAAGGAACGCTCGACTCCACACTCGCATGCAGAGCCTTCCAGGCATTCCCATACCATCTCGGACCTGTGCATATGCAGAACCCTGGGCGACAGGAGCATGCGTTGAAATGACGGCGCATGCAGGAAGAGCCCCATCTTGAGAAGTTCGAGGGAGTTGAGGTCAGCCTTGGTCGCCAGCGGCTGCAGAAGGAGCCTCTCGGCCCTGTACCAGTGACTCCAAGTCATGTTCTTGCGGACCTGGATGGGGTAAGTGCGGCCATGGTGGCTGATTCGAACGGTGCTGGATGCCTTCCTTTCGTCGGCACCGTCGCCGCCGTCGGCAGTACTACCTGTGCGGGCTGGGCGAAAGTTGCTCAGCCTGAGGTCGGTGCTATCGGACAAGGCAATGGTGAAGTGGGCATGCCGGAAGATGGCATCCTCGCGGTCCAGATGCCAGTTGGCGTCTTCGACGTCGCCGTGGAGGACACAAAAGTCGGGGATCCAAGCGTAGCGCAGGCCCTGCTCGTTGGCCACTGCCAAGGCTTCTTGCAAGGCCACGGGGACCTGCCACCAGTCAATGCGCCTCTGACGGTCCTCGAGATTGTCGAGGGTGGTGAGGGAATAAGGGGCCGGCAAGGGGCCGGCAACGGCGTGGATGATGGCGACATAGGAGCCGGGAGAGGCCGAAGTATCAACCAGCTTGACACCGTTTCGTGGATTTTTGCCCAGGTCCAGGTATCGCCTGGGAGCGCAGGCTTGGACGCCGTGGCAGAGCAATGCGCGGCAGGTTGGGTGGGATGCAGTGCACTCGTCGATCCACTCACGCATCATCTTTTGGCGACGCCTGGAGTGCAAGTTCTGGGTGACGGCGTTGGCCGGGCCGAAGGCGGGGCAGGGCGAGGGCTCTCCTGGTGCGGGTTTGGTCAGCATCAGCATCAGAGGCAGCGGTGATGGATTCATGAGTGATTGGCGAGGAGGTGGCACCTGGTTTGGTAGATAGGTCAAAGGACACCTGAGTCGGGACGAGATTGCCTTGGGGATTGGTGTAGGTGGCGAATACAGCTACGCTGACAACATCAGTGAGCTCGATGTGAGCGACACATGGGCTGAAGCCAAGTCTTGGCTTGGTTGGGTCGAGACCGAACATGAGCACGATGCCTACTTTGATGGCATAGCATGTCTGACATCCCTTCTTGGCGGCTTTGGCAAGGCACTTGAACTCGCGCTTCAGCACCCGAATCCTTGTGGACGCGTTGGAATCGTCGGGCACGGAGAGAGCGTCCCGATCTAGGTCGAAGCACACCCAGCACGCGGGTTCCGGGGCCTGAGTCCCGTTGCCCGGCATGGTAAAGTAAGCACAGGCGACTAAGGGGCGGAGAAGTTGGAAATGCTCATAGCGGTCGCGACGAGCCTGCGCCGGCCGGCCGAAGCGAAGGATGCGCCGGCCGGGTCTGGTAGGTATTGATGGAAGTCGTGCTGGAACGGACGTGAATGAATGAATGCGTGGGTGATTTGAGTGGTGATGATGTCGCGTCGGAAAGCGAAGAGTTGAAGATGAGAAAAGACCAGTGAGTGACGTGACGTGACGTGGGACAGCGACATGGGTACGTACCTACTGCATGGGTAAGGTTACCTAGGCGGTACGGTACGTAACTACCTCTAGGTAGACAAATGTCGCAGTGGTAACAATCTACGAATACCTACCTACCTACCTACCTACCTACCCATGGGGCCACCCAACTTTTGCACATTTCACACACAGATAGATAGACACACTGCCGTAGACACGGAGTATCTGCTGCTAATTGTTGAGTCCATAGATTGGTTTACTGGTTGCCTCAAGACTTCAGTAATATACCAAGCCTGGGAATTCCTCTCCCTCCCTTGCTGTATGTACATCCTTATATTTACATTCAATGCAGCTTTATCTATCCTCATACTATCCGTAATAGTTCTGTAACTATTGTCTCTGCTGAATCGATTTAGGATTCTCTCCATCCTTTATATCCTTGTGTAGTAACACCTTGCTTACTTCGACACGGGCTGTTCTATATGTCAGTAGTGTTGGAACAATGTGTTTGATGTAAACGCCTTCTCCTTTATGTTTGACAGACAACACGGAAAATCAGAATGCACTTTACAGGTATCCTAAGTTGGTGACAAAACGGATCACTGTTTCTGCAGACCTGCAGAGTGAAATGTGTGTCTTCAAACATGGCCAGAACACGTGCTTACTGTGTTAAGTAGACGCTGGACTCGCCAATCACGTTTGCGACACCACCAGAATTGTCCTCATGCAAAGACTGCTGCTTCAGGATTCTTCCTGCCGAACAGACATCAGCATCGTTTGCGAATCCTCTTTCTGCCCCAGACCCAGAGGCAATTACTGCTTATGAGACAGTTAATCTGTCTGGCGTCGACGTCGATATGGGATGCATCAACGGCCGTCTGTTCCAGCCCCCGGCCCTAGAAAAGGAAGGGCGCGCCATCCGCGCTATGATCCAAGACTGTGTTTCGAATCACCAACAGTGTCGAGGACTCGAGCTTTCGCTACTGAATCCCTTCCTAGCCGACTCTTGGCAGTTACAGGGCACGGGTAGATGTCTATTGCATCATCCAAGATTCGGAGGACGACAAGGACACTTCACACTTTATGAGTCTTATTGTACAAGAGGTAGACAAAAAGGAAGAGAAGAAGAAGAATTCGTCTGTTAACGACGATCCTGACGGACCAACGGTATATAAGCGAATAGGTACGTTTAGAGACGGTCCGCTTCCATACAAAAAATACTACAAGCCAAAAAGGGAGTTTCTTATTGTCTAATAATGCCTATGTTGAGATACTACAGACTTACCCGCATGAATATATCCAGTATCACTAGTAGTACGAATATACTTATTTAGCCCTTAGCTTTAATAGCATTGCCGCTAGACTCAAAGTAATTGGATCAAAAATAGGATCAATCAGTAAAGAACTTCATTCGTGGGTCTAATATAGTACAAAGAAGTAAGAAAAGTCCCTGTGGGCAAGGCAGTAAATAGGTAAAGCTGGTGCAAGTGGTGATTGAATTCGATGCTGAGATCCCTTATGATCGAGCGAAGAAGTGATGCCGAGCCACCATTAATAGGTCCATCTTACCAAAATATGTATGTGTGGTATGTACTATATACATGACTGCTTTTGGTCTATGGTATGTTA